TTCCTCAGGGATGTGTTTTGGGTCTGTATCCTGGTCCCTTGTTTCTCTTGCTTTATCTTGCTTCTTTGTGTGGACTGTGATGCTCTGTTGTCTCCTAGGCATTGTGACATTTTTGTGTTTATATTTAATTGGTGATTGTATGTTGGAGTGACTTGCCCACAATTTTTGTTTTCTTTGTATGTTATTTATGCAAGCAGGGTACCGTACTGTGTTCCTCTATTCACTAGTTGACAGCACTTATACGCTCACCACCTGTCTCCTTTCCTGTTGTCAGCCTCTTGTATGTCCCCGCCGACCTTGGCAAACAGAACCTATTCTTAGGTCCCTGGAATCGGAATGAGAATGCTGTCACTTTAAAATCCAAAATGGCTGCCACTTGTAAAGATTCAAAATGGCTGCACCCTCCTCGGTCACTTTAAATCCAAAAGGGCCACCAATTGTAAACATTCAAAATGGCTGTGCCATTGGTCACTTTCATTTTCTAGAATGGCTGCTACGTGTAAACAATCAAAATGGCTGTGCTCTCTGGACAGTGGTAAGTCAGCAGCTCTCAGATTGTCTCCCTCCTTGCTGTTTCCCTTCCTAGTCATAGGCCACCAGCACAGTTGTCCCTGCAGCCCTTGGCAACCACGCCTGATCTTTAGGTCAATCTCAGGTCCCAACACCACTTGGAATTGTTCAGGCTATTGGTCCCATCAGAGTAGCTGACAGTCCGCAGCTCTGACCGTCTCTGTACTCAACTGTTTTCGTTCAGGTTTTTGCACTAGTTGGTACCTAATCCACTTCTGTGCAGTTCTTTTCAAAGATCAGGGTTCCAGGATTACCTTCTGTATCTCTGACAGTTGGTTTTTCTTTTCTTTGTTGAAGAGGGTCTGTGTCGTTTGCCCATTCTTCTATCTTACCGGAAGTGAAAGGTTATATTTTAATGATGCTTTTTTATATTGAAAGTTTTACTGGTGTTTAAGTACTTGGGCAATACCAAAGCTGTCTAGTGTTAAGGAAACATTCGGTAATATAATTAGCACTTTTTGCTTTCACTTGTTTTTTGAAAATATGCTAAACATCAGTGTGGTGTAAATTTAATATGTGAGCTACTTCTTTGAAATGATTTCCTTTTACTTTCTATATGCCTTTATTATTTGAAAAACTGATTCAACTTAGTGTCCTCAATGAAATGTTAGAATTAAGTGTCTTTAGAGTTAAAGATAATATTCAGTGTATTTTTCTCTAAAGCTCTCTTTTTCCTTCTCTTTAGAGGAAGTATCATTCTGCAAAGGAAGCTTACGAACAACTTTTACAAACAGAAAATCTTTCTGCACAAGTAAAAGCAACAGTTTTACAACAGTTAGGTAAGCAATAATATATATGTATTGTATGATAACTACTACTCTGTAGGTTTTTACCTGCCAGGAGTGGCAAATACGTGGGTGATGTTTTTTCCTTTGTCCAGAGTTGGTAGATTTAAATCTAAACATAATATATTTCCATGCTCTGCCAAGCATTATCCATATCACAGGCTATCTGAGTACAGTTCTTTAGTACAGCTAACCAGTAGTCATTGAGTTGATTCCATTATGGCAACCACTTGTGTCAGGGTAAAATTCTGCTCTATAGGTTTTTTGGGGGGGAGGATTTGGGTAAAACTTTACAGAGCAAATTCATTTTCCATACAACACTTTATACACATTTGGTTTCATGATGAGATTGATTTCAATCATCATAATGTAACAGCTCTCTTCCACTTCCTCTCTGTGGTTACTGTCCTTCTTTCCTATGCATTCCTGGCCTCTGAGCTATCTCCCTTTGCTAATACTGCCCTTCTGATCTCCCATGGTTAATTGTTCTAAGGACTGTATCTACTTAATACCAGATTGTTTTGACTACTGTGGTTATACAGTAGGTTTTGATATCAGAGAGTGTGGGGCCTCCTAATTTATTTTTCAGTAGTGTTTTGGTTCACCTTATGTGTCTATCTGCTGTTTGGTTAGAGCCATAGGAGTGAGTTCCGTTCTAGGCCTGAAGGGTGACTAGGGGCCATAGGAGTTTCAACCATCTCTATTAGCCCCATAAGCCTGGTCTTTATGATTTTTAGTTTTGTTCCATATTTTTCTCCCAGTCTATCCAGGATCTCCTACACTGATCCCTTTCTGAGTGGTTGACAGTGGTAGCTGGGCACCATCTAGTTTTTCTGTCTCTTGATCATGAATGCCAAAGTTCCCATGGTCTACTAGTCCCTCAGACAGAATGTCTCCATGCATCTTTGGTTTTCTTCATTGTTGTTTGCTCTGGATCAAGAGACACCAGTTGTTGCATCTTAGATGGTTGTTTGCAAGCTTTTAAGACCTCAGTGCACTACTTAGTCACTACCAAAGTAGGATGTAGAACAATGTTTCTGTGTACACCAATTGAACTTGATGTCCTCCACAACTATGGCCCCAAGCTCTCTGACCCAATAACTCACTCCCTAATGGTGATTGGCTGTGGCTAAGAAGTTATCATAACATTGCCCTCTGTTAGCTGTATTTTATATATGAACATTCTTATAGCACATACAAATACATATTTAGAAATATGCTCCATAGGTTTTTAATGGCTGATTTTGAGGAAGTAGGTTGCCAAGGCTTCCTTCTAAGGCTCCTCTGGGTAGGTTTAACCTCCAGTCTTTTGGTTAGTATTTCAGCATGTTAATCACAAGGGACTCCTTAGTGCAATTGTTGTTGTTAATGTGTCATTGAGTCTGATCTGAGTCATAGCGACCCATCCTTGGGTTTCCGAGGCAGTATCACTGCAGAAGTAGATTGCCCAACCTTCCTTCCGAGGAGTTGGTGGGTTTGAACCGCCAGCCTTCTGGTTAGCAGTCAGGTGCCTTAGGCACTACACTACCAGAGCTCTTGTACTGTTAAACTCTCAAAATTATTCCCTAGTACTTGATCCATGGGCAAGAGTGATTGAATACTTCCTTTGTATTATATATATGCTGAGTACTTTATGATGTCAATTGATTTGCCTAAAATCACTTACTGGTTGCTGAACTTACTTTTATGGCTTTATTGATAATAATGACTATTAGTAACATTTTACCTAAAAATTACAGAACACATTATAGTTTCTGTAACATACAATTCTGTTCTCATGTTATAGATGAAGAAATTCTAGCCATTTGGAGATAATTGTTTCACTATCATCAGGAAGATAGTGAAGGAGCTCTCCAGCATTTTGTTGCTTATTGAATGAGTCATGTTTCTTATTTGTATTTCGTATTTGGGTTGTTTCTTCACCTTTTGCTTATTTGTTTTTGTGTGGGCAAATAGTGTATTTTTTATTTTTATATAACATATCAATAAGAATGTTTTCATAGTATGATTTAATACAATGTAAACTTAGATTTTACCATTTACCTTCATGATACTAATATCAATATTAATAGTACAACATAAACACACATTACCTTTACATAAAGCCTTTGCTTTTAGTTTTGTTTTCAATTTATTCTTTCATTAGAATTTTACTTGAGTTATCCATGCCTTAAAAAATTATGAAAGTATTTTAAGTATTTGTTTCAAATGAACCATATATAGTTTTTGAGGTATGTGAATTTGTATCTTTAAGTTAAAACACGTTTATTAGTACAGTTTCAAAGGAAAGGGGGGGGAGTTGTGTTAATTTTTTTTTTTTTTTTTTTTTTAAAGTTGTGCCTTTAGCATGGACAGCTAACCCATTCAGCTAATACTTGAATGCCCACCATTTTTCTCCACAGTATTTTCAATTGTTATATTTTTACATATTTTGGCTTCACTGAAGAATGTATAGATAGCAAAAATGCATATATATTTTTTAAGTTTAAGAAATGAATGGAAATAAGTTTTGGTTTTAACTATGTCTGAATCATCTGTCCTGTTTTGCAGCGGCTTACCATGTCTCCAAGTATACACGTAAACTTTTAATGGTTCTCAAAAGAAAAATACTCCTGTTTTCATATAATTTATCCCAGCACATCAAGTCTTCCTACTTGCTTTTCAGTGCTGCTTAAGCAGCTGCTTTTAGAATTAGTTACTCGAGGTCCTGTTTTTATTAGTAATAGTAGGAGAGATGACGGAGGAACACAAATATGAATAAACATGTGATTGACTTATACCTCCATGTTGTTGTTGTTGTTATGTGCTATGAAGTCAGACCTGACTCATAATGACCCCTCCTTGGGTTTCCGAGGCAGTATCACTATGGTAGTAGATTGCCCAACCTTCCTTCTGAGGAGTGGCTGGTGGATTTGAACTGCCAGCCTTCTGGTTAGCAGTCAGGTGCTTTAGGCACTACGCTACCAGAGCTCCTTATACCTCCATAAGACATGGTAATTGAGTACAACTTGGTTTTGAAGCATAGCTATTATAATAAATGTCAGACAATAAGAGTCTTTATTATATATGGTACTGACTGTACATGAAGAAGAGAGCATGTTTGAACTGTGATCCTCTACTGAAATACAATTCACTGACAAATTAAACCCAGATTTTGCCAGTGTGGCTTGAAAACTGAGAATATAGTATTCAATGATTTAATCTTTTGATTGGTTATATAACCATCTAGCTCCAAATTTATCTATTAAATGGACATTAGCATTCTTATTTGTTCCATTTGAATCTACTTATTGCTGTTTTTTTTTTTTTTTTTTTTTTTTTGTCATATGGGGTAAGTTTTTATTTTTATATAGAGTTTGAATGTATGTGGCTAATGCCAACCAGTACATTAATGTTTGTGTGTGTGTGTGTGTGTGTGTGTGTTTTAATGTAAACTATGATTGATTTATATAGCTTTATATTTATTTTTTGGAAATAAATATTGGGTTGATAGACTATCTTGGAAATTCTCAAAATGCACATTTATTTTTATGTGGAACAGTAAATAAGATTTAACATCTTTAGATTCTTTGTTTCATAATTTGGAGTTATTTTAAATACCAAAATTAAAGGGAAATACAGAATATAGTTTTAATCTGTTAAGTGTCAAGTTAGTGCTTAAAATCATTCTATTTTCTTTTGAATAAGAGCTCTTGATAGCTTTGACTGTACCTTCTTGAGAGAAACAAACTTTCTTATGGTCCTGATCAGCCGTGTTAAAGTTAGTGAGCGTGTACTCTGAACTAAATGAATAAGTTGACTGAAAAGAACATTGTAATTTTTTTTTTCTTACTGGTATTCTTATATGTAAAAAAACAATTAAATCTTATAGGTAAATATTTTTAATATTTTGTTATAGGTTGGATGCATCATACTGTGGATCTCCTAGGAGATAAAGCCGCCAAGGAAAGCTATGCTATTCAGTATCTCCAGAAGTCATTGGAAGCAGATCCTAATTCTGGCCAGTCCTGGTATTTCCTCGGAAGGTAATTCTTATCAGACACTTATGTTTTGCTTTTGTCAATTAAATATTTAAATTCCTTTCCTTCTGATTTCTAATATTTTCTCTATATGCGTATTTAACAGAACAGAAAATTAATTTCTCATTCTTCCTGATGACTACCAGTAGCTAATGGAACCTTCCTATTTATAATTTTGATTAATGTTACATACCTTAGATAACCTTAGAATACCTTAGATAACCTTAGAATGGACATATTTGAATAATAGTAGGTCTTAAATCATAGTTGTGCTTAAAATCTACTTGAGAAAGTGGATATATTTTTCTTGCATTTGTTGGAAAAGACATGGTAGTAGATTCCTACAAGTCTATACACTTTACTATATAAATTGAATGTCTGTTATATTTGCTAAATAGCTCAAATATACCTTAAGTATATATATCTGATAGATTATATTTTTAGATCATCATTAAATTGTATTTTGGTTTCTAATTGTGTTTAGCTTTCCTTGGTATGGTAGAAAGATCAATGTACTAGAAGCCAAGAGATTTGGATTTAGGTACTGGTTGGGCTACTATTTGTATAGTCATAGATGGTACAGTTAAACCTCTTGAATCTCCATTTTCTTTTATCCTATTAAATAAGAGGATTGTATTAGATCAGTGATTCTCAATGTAGGGCAGTTTTGCACCTCATGGAACATTTCATAATGTTTGAAAACAATTTTGGATGTCACAACGGGCAGGAATGCTATAGGCATCTAGGGGGTAGACACCCTGGGATGCTGCTAAACATCATACAATGTACAGGTTCACCCTTTGATATAAAGAATCATCCAGTCCAAAATGTCAGTAGTGCTGAAGTTGAGAAGCCCTGAGTTAGATGCTTTATTAGTATCTTTCTACATTGAAAGATTTCAATTTTATGTTTTCTTTAAAAATAATCCAGTTGTGTTTTAATTGTAAACTTTATTCTTTTCATTTTTACATAGGAATGTGTTATTTTGAGTAAATTTGCCATGTAATCACATTTAATTTTAGTTTTTTGTGTGATATTTTCTTTAAATTTAGGAATATAAGTTTGTGTGTGAGAGAATAATATTAAAATATTTCCTTCTATTAAAAATACTTGATTATAATAATATTTGGCTGGAAAAGTATCTATTTTGGGCAAGGTTTTCTAATCTCTCCCCAGGCTTATAAAATAATCATGTTATATTGTTCATTAATAGAACTCGAGAATCTGAACTTTATCTTTCACTAAAGATTTTTAGGCACAGGAATGGATCTTTGAATCTTCCTTGCTGAGAAAAGTGGCTATTCAATACAAACATTTGCATTTGAAGATAGCACCATCACTACTGTTAGTGTTGCACAGTGTGAATCTTTATGCAGTGACCATAAAGGAAACCTACTACAGGGAAGGAAGGGGTGCCTTCTCTTGTCTTCTGCTTTGAAGCTTATGTATCAACATTTAATATAGATTAAAAGGAATTTATACTAGAAAGTATTTTCCTTTTTACCACAGATAAAGATTGATTCTTTAGTTTATCTTTTTTTAATCTTTAGTATAACTTTTTTTAAAAAAAAAAAGTATTTAAAATTAAAATATATAATGAAGCATATATAAAATTACTATTTTGAATAATACTGTAATTTTCTGCTTCATTGAAGAGAGCAGTATTTCACAGACGTTTTTTTCCAGTTAACTGATGCTACTTTTTAAACCAGTTTATTTTAATCTTTTTGGATAATGTTTTCAAATATACAACATCCTTTTCTGACTTCTTAAATAAAAGACACTAATTACAGTTTAACTTGTTCTTGGGGTCAAGATTATCATTTTAGACATTCATTGTTTTTCACCTATAATAATAAAATTCTGTGTGTTTTTTTTGTTTTGTTTTGTTTTTTTACTTTGCTGCTGCCTTCTAATGTGTTGCTTCTGATCTATTTTATTGTGAGAAAAAATAATTTTATAATTATATTTTAGAAGTCATGTTTAAGATTTCTGAGATTTTTTATTACCTATCCCTGTACTGTAAGGAACTCTGGTGGTGCAGTGGTTAATGTATTTGGCTGCTGAACAAAAGGATGACAGGTTCATGTCCATCAGCTGCTCTGCAGGAGAAAGATGAGGCAGTTTGCTTATGTAATGATTTACAGGCTTGGAAACCCTGTAGGCAGTTCTACTCTGTCCTGTAGGGTCACTGTGAGTTGGAATTGACTCTATGGCAGTGGATTTGGTTTGAGTTATCTCTGTATTCAGGTCTGTGTTCAAGATAGAAGTAGCTCATCATTTGACATGTGTATATTAAAGTGAAATTACAGTGTGGTAATAATATACTAGCACCAGTCATTCACTGTGTTATCCCAGAGTCATAGAACATTAGAGCTGAAAGGGTCCAGTTGTTGTTGTTGTTGTTGTTGTTGTTGTTGTTGTTATTTGCCGTCGAGTCGGACCCGACTCATAGCGACCCCTCCTTGGGTTTCCGAGGCAGTATCACTATGGAAGTAGATTGCCCCATCTTCCTTCCGAGGAGTGGCTGGTGGGTTTGAACCTCCAGCCTTCTGGTTAGCAGTCAAGTGCCTTAGGCACTATGCTATAGTTCCCCTGTAAGCTCTTTCATGTTAAAGATGTAGAAAATGGGTCCAGAGGAGTAAAGCATTTTGTTTAATGTCACATAGGTAGTTAATGTCAGACCAGGGCCTAGGTCATAGGTGCACCCAGTGCCTCTAATTATGTGAGGTTTCTTGGAAACCTGTATGAGTTTAATAGGAGGAAAGTACTTGGTTGTTGAACTGCGATATCTGTATTTGAATACATTGGCTTCCTACTTTGATTTGGTAGGAATGGGATATGCAAACATTGATTTGGGGAAGTATTGCTTATTTCTCCCAGCAGTTAGGCATTATTTATCTATAAATTTGAGATTTGACTTTTGGTTTAACAAGAACAGTAATAAAACCTCATGTTTTCTACTATCTGTTAGCATTCTCTTTCTCTCTGGTGGCTGTTTGGCATTGTGGCTGACCTCTTCTCTTGAATTCTCCCTTCATAAAACAGTTTGCACACACCCTATAAAGCTACCTTTTCTAGCTCAATTACTGATGTTCTTTTCCTCAATCCACAAGAGTAATGGTTCCATAGGCTTATTTCTGCATTCCCGTTGTTGTTAGGTGCTGCCAAGTTGGTTTTGACTCACACTGACTCTATGTGCAACGAAATAAAATACTGCCCTGTCCTGCACCGTCCTCACAATCGTTGCTATATTGGAGCCCATTGCTTAAGCCACTGTCAGTCTATCTCGTTGAGAGTCTTCCTTTTTCTGTCTGCTTTATCAAGAATGATGGACTTCTCTAGGGACTGGTCTCTCCTGATAACATGTCCAAAGTTTGTGAGATGAAGTCTCACCATCCACTAAGTACCTTCTAAGTAGCATTCTGGCTGTATTTCTCCTAAGACAGATTTGTTTGTTCTTATGCCACTCCATGGTACATTTAATTTTCTTCAGCAACACCATAATTCAAAGGCATCAATTCTTCTTTGGTCTTCCATATTCATTATCCCACTTTTGCATGCATATACGAGGCAATTGAAAATACTGTGGCTTGGGTCAAGTGCACCTTAGTCCTCAAGGTGACATCTTTTCTTTTTAACAATTTAAAGAGGTCTTTTGTAGCAGATTTTCCAAATGCAGTAAGTCCTTTGAGTCACTTGGGGTGACTCACATGTATATTATGGTTCAGTATATCTGAGAAAGGCAAATTCTCAACCAGGAATGAAACAAGTTCAGTTCTTGCTTTCATCATGCCAGTCTCATTTATTAAAGCAATCAACTTCAGGTCAACTTTGGGCTGAATTTAGAAATTCTCTCTTTTATTCCATGTTGTTTTGTATATACTAGTTTCTGCTCATACTGTTCAAAGCTATTTGAAATGCCTTCTCTTATCTTCTTTGCCTCAAGCAGTGGTTCCCAGATCTTTGGATTACAAGAACCAGGAAAATTTCAAAGAATAATTATGATGACCAAAGTACAGTGTTAAGGCAAATAAAGGCATTAAATTTTTTTGTTTTTTGCAGCTTACTGTTGGTCAACAGTATTGCAAAATAAGTGAATTGTAATATAAATATTAATTTTAAACTTTTATATATGTATATTTTATTTTGAAAGTAATACATAACAAAACAAACACCATCGTAACTATTTCTGCACATTCAATTCAGTGACATTGATTATATTCTTCAAGTTGTGTAACCATTCTCACTGTCCTTTTCCAAATCATTCTACCACTGTTGTGTTGTGGTGGTGTTTTTTATTTTGTTTGCTTGGCAAAATAGGAATCACTGATTGAAATTTAATAGAGTTCATTAATGTAGCATACTTTAACATCTATAAGATAGACTGTAATGGTTTATTGAAGGGCTAATTATGATGTAATAATTATAATGAAAGATAAATCACTAGGAAGGACATCATGTTTGGTAAAGTATAGGGTCAGCGAAAACTAGGAAAACCTTCAATGAGACAGAATGACACAATAGCCTTAACAGTGGGTTCAGACAGCAAGATAATGGAGAGAGTACAGGACTGTTATTCTGTTATACCTAGGGTTGCCATGAGTCAGAGCCCACTGGAAGGCAACTAACAACAAAATTATAATGTAGATTACAATTACTGTGTACATGTGCGCACACACAAATACAGTAATTTATTAGTTAATATGCTTTTGTATGTATGTGCATGTGTGTGTGCGCTTTGCTATATAGTAGATACTTTCAGCAAATAAATTTAGTTCATTTCAGTACTAATGGATTTTCCTGGTTCTCCCACCTCTCCTTTTCCTCTCTTCAGGTGCTATTCAAGTATTGGGAAAGTTCAGGATGCCTTTATATCTTACAGGCAGTCTATTGATAAATCAGAAGCAAGTGCAGATACATGGTGTTCAATAGGGTAAGACTTTGTATAAAAATAATTGTATTATAATTGATACATAGAGATAAATGCACCACATACAATGTATCATCTTGTTTATAACATGTTATAAAACTAAGCAGTTCTTATTTGACTTATTTTTTCTTACTTTGTCTTTCTAGTGTGCTCTATCAGCAGCAAAATCAGCCTATGGATGCTTTACAGGCCTATATTTGTGCTGTACAGTTAGACCATGGCCATGCTGCAGCCTGGATGGACCTCGGCACTCTTTATGAATCCTGTAACCAACCTCAGGATGCCATTAAATGCTACTTAAATGCAACTAGAAGCAAAAATTGTAGTAATACCTCTGCACTTGCAGCACGGATTAAGTATTTACAGGTAAAGTTTTAAAATAGAAGTGTTTTAAAGACACATTATTTCCCTATGACATTCAGGCAGGAAGAGGGTGGCTGGAAAGTTTGTCTAGTTGTGTTTTGATGTCTATAATTTGTTTCCATATTTTGTAAACATACCATAGCTTATAATATGTTTTTACGTTTCATTTTAAATAAGATATACAGTATTTTAAGAGATGCTCTTTTGCACATTTACTCTGTTGATGCATATTAATTTACATATTTTTTCTATGTACCGTCTACATTTTTAAGTTGTCATAGCATTTTAGAGAAGAACACAAACACTGTCTTTCACTCTTGCTTGAAGTTTCCTGAGAAGACAGCTATGAGAACTCTGAAAACAGAGCTCACCTTTGTTCTGATTCTCACAAAGGTTTATATTCCCGTTACCCTTTTTATACTTAGTGTCTTTCTAAAACCCCAAATTTAGACTCTATTTTCTTTTAAAAGCAATTAGCTGTAGCATTTAGGAAGATTTAGTGGACTTGCTCTTACTCAAATAGGCTTGTGTTAAATATGCTTTTTACATAATTTTTCCTAGGCTCAGTTGTGTAACCTTCCACAAGGTAGTCTACAGAATAAAACTAAATTACTTCCTAGTATTGAGGAGGCATGGAGCCTACCAATCCCCGCAGAGCTTACCTCCAGGCAGGGTGCCATGAACACAGCACAGCAGGTGAGAAGTTGGGTTATATTCTGTAGGTGCCCAGCTTTAAGGGTTCTTTTCAATCTGTAGTGGTCAAGTTTATTTTACTAAGCACAGGAGGCTTTTATTAATGAAAAGCCTTTTGATGTGATTGCAAAGGGATTCTAGATCAAAATAAAACTCCCTCTGATATGGGAAGAAATTTTGGGGTACCAATTTAGAACCTTTGTGGATTTTCATGACTTTCAAAGAGATTTCTTTAAAATAAAATGCTGCAGTGGTTTATTTAATTTTAAAAGCAGGTTTTTCAAAGGAAGGTACACATTCCTCCATTGATGATTCATTTGACTTTGATTTTTAATAATTGCAACCAGCAATGTCCACATAGCTTTGAAAAGTATGCAACTTGTAAAGTTTTATAATTTGAAGGAATGAATTAAGAATATATAGAACCCTATTTTTGTCTTCCTTCTGTGATTCTTAGGCATGTAAACCTCATCATCCAAATACTGAACCTGTATTAGGCCTCAGTCAAACACCAATTTCACAGCAATCCTTGCCACTACACATGATTCCTTCTAGCCAAGTAGATGACCTGTCCAGTCCTGCCAAGAGGAAAAGAACATCTAGTCCAACAAAGGTATATATTTTAGAGAAATAGAACATTCCAGTCAAAAAACAAACTTAACTGCTCTCACATTGTGCAGTTTGAACATCTCCTGTCCTTTATTTTAAATTTGTGGACATCAAAGAGTGAAAGGTTTGAATTTTTCCATCCCAAACTCTTAGCATCATATAGAAAGTAGAGGTAAATTTGCATTCATCAAATCATTTTATTCATCTCCCTGCCGTTAAGATCTCAGTACACTTCATTATCACTTTCTCCTGACATTGAAATAACTTGAATTTTAGATCTAGTAGACAGTGTGGTGTTTAGGTTAGCCATTTGGGCCATAGTTTAGGGGTGGGCCTTTTTGGGTGGCTTATTGAAAAATCAGTTATTTTTTTAATTTAAAATTTTCCAATTAATTATGCATGTTAAATCATTTAAAAAACAATTTAATAACATCCTTTTTATATGTAAATATTCCAGTTCATAGTCATTTGGCCTCCATTGGTCTTTATTATCTCTATGGACTTAACCAAATATTCTTTAAATTTTTTTTATCAATTTTCCGTAGAATACTTCTGATAATTGGAGTAGTGGCCATGCTGTGTCACATCCTCCAGTACAACAACAAGCTCATTCATGGTGTTTGACACCACAAAAATTACAGGTATGTAATACAAGCTTTCGACAGATTATTTTTTCTATTTAAAAGGCATAGAGGTAGTAAACTTTCAACTTCTTTTTTATTACAGTTGACTGTTGAACAACATGGGGAATATAGATGCCAAGTCCTGTACAATCAAAAATTTGCATAGAATTTTGACTCCTCCAAAACTTAACTACTACCAGCTTATTACTGACTATCCACTCCCATCAAGTCAGATCTGACTCATAATGACCCCTCCTTGATAACTTAAACAGTCCTAATCATAAACCTGGCTGCATTTGCACAAAACATTAGAGTTAGCTTATTCCTTCCTGCCTTAAATCCTGGTGTTCACTTGTCTTCTTTATCAATAGTTGTCCTTTGTGGCTTTTTTTTCCAGAATAGGGTACGTTCATCTGTGTTAAAAACCTGTTCACACAGATATCCTTTCTCCTCAATGATTTTCAAAATGGCATCTGGAAATTCATCTGCTGCCTCTTGGTTGGCAGAAGCTTTTTTTCCTGTTATCATGACAATTTTAAAGCCAAACATCTTTCTAAAATTATCAAACCATCCTTTGCTGTCACTACATTCTCCAGCTATAGATTTTTCACCTTCCTTTTGCTTTAAGTTGTCATTTAATGACTTTGCTTTTACTCAAATCATATTAGAGTCTGTAAGTATGCCTTTCTTATAGCAATCCTGTATCCACATAAAAATAGCATTTTCAATATGAGATAAAAAGGTATTTCCCCAAAAGTGCTAGATTTTCTTGTCTGCTGTCAGAGATAGCTGTAGCAACAACTTTACGAATATCCTTTTCTTTTTTACATTGACCCTTATGTTGAATTAATTTATCTTGACATGATGGGCAACTGCAGCTGCAGACCTCAATCTATAGTACATATCAAGCAATTCAGCTTTTTCTTATGTCATTACTTTTCTCTGCTTCTTGGAAGCACTTGCAACATCACTAGTAGCACTGCATATGGGTCCCCTGGTGTTATTTAAGGTTTATGATATTGCACAAAAACATGATGAAAAATACATGAGAACTGCAAGAGATCATTTTTTACTTCAGTATACCATCTACTGTAGAGATGGAGAGGCGAACTGCTTACATAGATGATTAGCATCATGAGGTTTTTTTAAAAAAAAAAACAAACTTTATTGTGGTTTAAATAAAGGGTAAAAGTTCACAGAGAAAATCCATTTTTCTGTTAAAGAATTCATACACATTTTGTTTCATATTCTTGATTGCAATCTTTTCAGTGTAATGTCCATCTATCCCACTTCCTATGTTTCTTGTTGCCATTCCTCCTTCTTTCCTAACCCTTCCTGCCTTCTGAACTTTGTACTTGGGCATATATTGCCCTTTTGATCTCAAACGGTTGATTATTGTAAGGAGTGTGTACCTCTCCCTAGTGTTAGTGTTGGATGTGTAAACTTGCCTATTGTCACGTGCCATTTAAAGCTGATACTTGCCACACATGAGCTTACTGCAATAGCAACGTGAGGTAGCTATGAAATAATAATTATTATTAAAATATTATTACAGTATTATAACTGTATTACAGTTAACTTTATGCAGTTATTATTTAATACTGCATCTTTATACTTGATTACATTTCTCTGGACTGTGAATGGCACTATGTACGATCTGTGTGTATGTGTGCATAAGTTTTGATAAATTTTTACAATAGAGTTGTGTATATTTTATGGTAGACTAGTATCTACGACTATTTTATATATTCATGATGTATTTCTAATTATTTTTTCAATATGTTTAGGCTGCATGGTTCATCTGCGAATTTTTTCAAATTGTCCCAAATCTCAAAAATATTTTCTAATATGTTTAATGAAAAAAGTCTGCATATAAGTGGACCCTTGCAGTCCAGGCCTATTTGTTCAAGGGTCACATATACTTCCTAAAGTTGAATGGCAGTAAATTGAATTAAAACGAACATAAGGTAAATGAGCCCACATTGATCTGAGCCATAGAGATAATTCATTTTTATTTTTCACTTGTTTTTAGTTTTTGAAAAAGATAATATA